TTTAAAGATATATAAAATAAATAATTTATATATAAAATTTTAAATATAATTTATTTTAATAAAATTCAATTTAGTTCTACAGTTGTTGTAAATATTTATATGTTTATTAAAAAAATAATGTTTATTTAAAAATAATGCAAATAAAACTAGTTTTAACTAAAATTAAAAACTAATAATAATTTTACACTTTTATAAGCAATATTTTTTTTAAGAAATAGTAATTATATTTTTTTATATATAAATAATATTTACATTATTATAATTATTTTCGATATAAAAAGATTAAAAAAAGATAATAACTTTAGGCAAAAATAAACACAAAAAAGTATTTGTTATAATAATAATAATAATAATGTATATCTCTATATGTATTTAAATGGATCATTAATAACATGCAAAATAAATGCTATATATATATATATATATATCAATATTATTTATTGTATATATATATATATATATATATCAATATTATTATATGCATGATAAACTTTATTTTTTATTTTGATTATGATTATTATTATTATTATTATTACAAGTAATATCCAGAAAATTGTCTTTCTAGAAATTTAGAAAACTAAAAATAATAAAATTTTATTATTTTTAGTTTTTTTTAAAAAGAAATATATGTATGACTCAGATATATATATATATATATATATATATATATATTTCCAATAAAATATTAAGTTTTTATTTTCTTATTATTCTTATTCATAGAAAAAAAACATATAAATCACAGAATATATATATATATCTATTATATAAAAATCCATTTAATATAACGACTATTTGTTTGGGAAATATGTCCATAAATAAGACACTCCTATCTCTAACTCTATTTTATTATCAATTTTTTATTTAAAATACATATTATATATATATATATATATATATATATATATATATATATATATAAAGTTTATATTAAATGTCACGCATATTATAAAAATATGTGTGAATATATCTATTGATAGTAAAAATATCTATATATATATACATTGTTTCTACAGTATATATAAAAAAGTAAAAAATATAAATAATATATTGTTTTTATCTATATTATTGCAGATATTTTAAATTTATATATATATATATATATAGTTTATATTTAAAACAACAAAACAAAAAAAGTTTTTAAAAAATAAATTATTTAATCTTATTGATTTTTTTTCATACATAACTATTTATTTACCTTAAATAAACCTACGCTAAATTTTTTTTTATATTTTTTAGTTTTCCTCTTTAAATTGATAGCCAAATGTTTAAATACTAAAGTATATAGTACTTACTAAACAAAATAGCTAAAAAAAAATTTAACATAAAAAATAAATAAAATTAACTAGATAAAAGTAAATATACTGCAATAAAACATTTTTTTATATATATATATTTGAAATTTCTATGCATATATGTATATATATAAGTAAAATAAATTTTATTTAGTAAAAAAAACTAAAAAAATGATACTGTAAAAAAATCTAAATTTTTGTTTATCTAGTTAATAAAAAATTTATATATAAAAGTATAACATTTTATAATAATAATACAGTATTTTTCATATATATGCAAAAAATAAAATAAATACATTTATATTTTATTATATGTATTGTATTGTATTGTATGCATTATATATTTTGTTAAGGTAAGCGCAAAAAATAATAATAAAATAAAAATAAAAATTTAAATTACAAAAAATAAATAATAAAATGAATCAAACTTTAATTTACACAAAAAAATAAATCAAACTTTAATTTACAAAATAAATAAAACTTAAATTTACACACAAATAAAATAATAATTACCTTATTCTAACACTTAATACATTACTCATTACATATCGTATACACATAAACACACACACACACACACACACACACACATACATACATACATACATACACACACATACACACACATACACACACATACACACACATACACACACATACACACACATACACACACATACACACACATACACACACATACACACACATACACACACATACACACACATACACACACATACACACACACACACACACACATACACACACATACACACACATACACACACATACACACACATACACACACATACACACACATACACACACATACACACACATACACACACATACACACACATACACACACATACACACACATACACACACATACACACACATACACACACATACACACACATACACACACATACACACACATACACACACACACACACACACACACACACATACACACACATACACACACATACACACACATACACACACACACACACACACACACACACACACACACACACACACACACACACACACACACACACACACACACACATACACACACATACACACACATACACACACATACACACACATACACACACATACACACACATACACACACATACACACACATACATACACACACATACAAACACTTACCTATCGATGCCGATGATAGTCAGTGTCCAGTTGCTGACAAAAACGGCACATAACTGTGCAAAGTTGACAACCGGACACAATTCCAGTGGAAATATCCACCGATTCAACATAAACCCCGTATAGGTAAACGGTATGCTAAATATGGACATCGATATATCGGATACGGACAGATTGATTAGGTATTGCCATATTTCGGTAGAAATACGGCCACCTTTCCATAGGACTGCAATGGTTATCATATTACTGGCCAACGATATGAATGCCGTAGTCGAGTACAGTAGTATCAGTAGGACCTGATAGGGCCAGAACTCCAGGGAATCCAATACTGGCAACTCTACTATCCATTCATAATCTTCATCTAAATTGTTATTTGAATTGTTTGCTGATAATGCTATGAACGAGTGATTATATGTGAGGTTATACGGTATTTCCGTTGGATAGGTATGTTTATATTTGTCTTGTAATATTTTTATCCAGTCCATTTTTGTTTTGTTTTTTATTTTATTTATTGATGATGATGATGATGCTAACTTTAATTGATATATAGTGGAAAATTATTAATTTTAATTTTTTAAATGTACAATATTCAAATTTTTATGATTTTTTTTTAATTAATTATTTTAATTAATTAAAATTAATTTTCTATAAACTAAAAATTGTTATTATTATTATTTAAATTATTTATTTTAGTTTTGTGTTATTGTTTTATATTTTGAATTAATTTAAAAATAAAATAATCATATTTTTTTCAATAATTATAGCTAATATTTTATGATATTAAGTTTTTAAAATAAATAAATTAATTAATTAATTATTTTTTAATTATAAGTAATTTTCTATAAAAAATTATTATCATTATTATTTTAATTATTTATTTTAGTTTTGTGATATTGTTTTCTATTTTGAATTAATTTAATTTTTTTTCAATAATTATAGTTAATATTTTATGATATTTATTTTTTTTTTAAATGTTACTAAAATATTTTTGTTTGAGTTTTTTTTTGCAATTTACTAATACATAATAAATTTATTTTTTCTTAAAATTTACAAAAATAAAAAATAAAAACAATATATATTTATTAATTAAAATAACAACAAAAAATCAATTTATAAATATTTTTTATATGATTTAAAATATAAAAAAAAATTATTATATTTAACCAAGTTAAATTATTAATACTTACATTATTTGAACAATTGAATATTGATGATAAAATTTGTTATTATTATTATCATATATTTTTTGGTTATCATTGACTTATTATTATTATTATTATTATTATTAAATATTTATTAAACTAATATTATATCAAATAATTTTATTTTATTTTTCTACTTGAATTCACATATAAATAAATAAAATATTTTTTTTGTGGGTGATATGTTTTTAGATGTTATTGACGACAACAAAAAAAATATTTATTATATATACAGTATATATTAATTATATTATATTTATGATTACTATGTTTATATGTGTTACTATATTTCAAATCATTTATTATATTATTATTATTATTATTAGACAGTTAGATAGTATTTAGATATTACTTGATATTAGTTTAGTGTATATATTACTGTATATTACTGTATATACACATAATCATTGACACATCCGACTCATGTATTAAATAATGATAAATAAAATAGTAGTGTCTGACTATACATACACAACTGTCCACACAATATATACTAGTATATATATATATATATATATATATATATATATATATATATATATATATACTGTATATATAAAAGAGTTAGTAGTAGTCGTAATAGTTGTCTGTATTATAGACAGACACCGACAGAGAGAGAGAGAGAGAGAGAGAGAGATCTGTTAAAAGTCACTATAAAAACACGTAATAAAGAGTTATATATATATATACAGTATATTTGATTTATTTTTGTTGGTTTTTTTTGTCACACTTTTTTTTATATATACAGTATATATACCGGTATATATATATCAGTATATATTAGTAGCAATGGTTTACTATTGGGAAAAAATAACGAAATGATATTATTATTATTATTATTATTATTTCTAATGTTATTTCACACACATATATACTGTATAAACTTGTTTCCCATTGCTTAATGAAAAAAAACCAAAAAAAAATTACAATTACAAACAAAATTTTTGTTGGTAATAATATTAGGTTGTATAATATTGATAGTAGTATAGCACATATACTTATCAAAAAAAATAATAGCTAACTGTCCAAATATATACTGTATATATATATTGTATAAATTACAGCATAGTATTAAACTGTATATTTAGGTGAAAGTTTTTTTTGTTGTTGATTTAAAAGTATTATTATTATTATTATTATTATTATTATTAGATAGTATTTAACAAAAATTTCAAATGTAATTGATATCTATTTGGATATACAGTAAAAAAAATGTTTTTTTCAAGTTAGTTATACTTAAAAAAATAGTGTATATATAATATATTGAATATATATATATATACTGTATATACTTTATATATATACTACTATTTTGAGTGGGAAAGGGATGTACTATCCTTTTGAATGGCGCGCACACTCTCATAGTCAGTGCACCGGTAGATGATATATATCAATGATTGATATATAATATTATATAATATGATAAATATATCAAATTTAAATATATAAATGCCTATTATTTAATATAATATATATTTTTTTTTAAAAATAAATATTTTTAAGCCTATTTTTTATAAATATTATTATTATTATCTAAATAATTTATATTATTTAATGTTATGTATTATTATTATTATTATTATTATTATTATTATTATTATTATTATTATTAATGATTATTATAAAATAATCTATTGAGATTATTTTTAAAAAAAAATATATTCAATAATAATAAATCTATAAAAAAATAAATATTTTTTATATATAATTTTAATGATTAAAATTTATAAATATATTTATTACTCAATAAATAAATTTACTGACTTTTATTTAATATATTTATAAAAAAAAGGTTATTTTGAATTAAGTACTTATTATTATTATTATTATTATTATTAAAAATATTGAAAATATAAATAATAATAATAATTTTTTAGTTTATATAAAATGTGCTATTTTTATACATTACTTATTTTTTAAAAAAATATATATATAATAACTAAAATAACAATGAAATATTAAATAAGTTTACATGTCAAATATATTTAATACATTATTATTATTATTATTATTATTATCTAAAAAAATATTTAGACTCAAAATTTAATATATATATTGACACATAATATACTACATTAATATTATATAAATATCAATATTATTATTTAAAAAATGTAAGTAATATAAAGAAATATAAAATAAAAATTTAGATTTTTATATAAATTATATTAAAATTTTATTTTCAATTAAATTCTAATATAGAAAATATAGTAAACATATTTCATATAATTTAAAATTATATATTTAATAAAAAATTTTGTGAAAAATTATATTGAATTGAATAAAAACATATAAATATCTTAATATAATATCAAAAAATAATATAATTAGATATTTTAATAAATAAAATATTTAGAAAAAAATATTAGTATAAAAATTAAGATCTATTGTCTAATGTTAATTTTATTTTATTTTTTAATTTAAAATAAATTTTTTACTTATTTGAAAATTTGTTTGTTTTTTATTGTTGATTATTACTTTATATTTAATTTAATATAAAATTTTAAGTAAATTAAACTATTTGTTGTATAATACTGTAAATTACTAGAATTAAAATTTAATAATTAAATTGTTTTAACAAAATTAAATTAGTATTTTAATTTTATGAGTATTATTAAAAAAAATAATAATAGTACAATAGTAATATACTTTATAAGTAAATTATTTTTATTGCATAAATAAAACTAAAAATGTTAAACAAAAATAATTATTTCAATAATATTTCAAAAAAACTACTATTTTATTATTTATTATATAATATTAAAGTAAATAAAGTGCCATCTGTGTATTATTAGATATATTTTTTTTATTAAATTAAATAAAAAAATAAATAAATTAAATTTTATAAATTATAATTAATTCATAAAAATAATTAGTTAATTTTAACATTTTTAAAAAATGCTAATTAAGCAAGTTGATTTATTATTATTATTATTATTATTATTATTATTACTAACAGTATTTAGTTATATCTATTGTACACAACAACAACAACAACAAGCTCAAGGTAATTTATTTATTATTATAATTTTAGTATAGATAAGTGTAAACATTTTTAAACAACATATTATATTATTATATATAAATATATATTTTTTAAAAAAATTTTAATTAATCAAGTTAGTTTTTAATTATTTCATACAGTAGTTAATAATATCTATTATACACAACAACAACAACAACAACAACAAGCTCAAGGTAATTTATTTATTATTAATAAAAATTAATTTAATTGTAATTATTAAGTTTTATTATTATTATTATTAAATATAAATTAAATTTGCTAAAAAAAAACTTTAAAATATTAATATTAGTAATAGAATTAAAACATATTATTTTTTATATAATTTTAAAAATTAAATTAATTAAAAAATATCTGTTTTTTTCTGGGCTATCATTTAAAGTATGCAATGAAATACAATGGGTATCGCGTAATGAATGGGCTGGCCGTCCGCCCAGACAACCGGCTAAAACATTGCCACTGCCTGTCGGACACGCATTCATACATCACACAGTTAGTCCCCTAAACTGTCTGAACCATAGCTCATGTATTCAAGCCGTCAAATGGGCACAAAACCTACATATGGATGGAAACGGTTGGGACGATATCGGCTATAATTTCCTATTAGGTGGTGACCATCGGATATATATAGCCAGGGGTTGGTCAGCTCAAGGTAGTCATACATTGGGTATGAATGACCGGTCAATAAATCTGGCATTTATTGGTAACTATGACCTCGAATGGCCAACCGCTGGGATGCTTGAAATGGCCCAAAAATGGCTGAAATGTTCACTAGCTATGGGTATACTAACCCCAGATTATCAACTGCATGGACACCGGGATCAGTCGTGTTTGTTTTCAAGTCCCGGTCAACATGTCTATGATCTAATTAAACAGTGGCCACATTTTCTAGGCGGACCGTTACCAACGTCTAAGTGCTATAAATCTAATATAACTACTACTACTACAAGTAGTAGCCATTGATAATGATTTTTATGATTTTAATTTTGATTAATTAAAATATCAATTAAATTATTTGATACTTATTTTTTTTGTTTGTTTGAAAATCTTGTAATAATATTATTATAGCTATAATTTGATGGACAGTTGTTGTTGTTTGTTGTCGGGCACCAGTAGTTCAATAGTAATAAATAGCAATAAAGTTAATATAACTACTACTACTACTACTACAAGTAGCCATTGATAATGATTTTTATGATTTTAATTTTGATTAATTAAAAATATCAATTAAATTATTTGATACTTATTTTTTTGTTTGTTTGAAAATCTTGTAATAATATTATTATTGCAATAATTTTATGGACAGTTGTTGTTGTTTGTTGTCGGGCACCAGTAGTTCAATAGTTTTGAAATTTTTTCAAATTAATAAATAAATAAAAATAAATAGTAGTTTCAATTTTAACAGTTAATTATATAATAGTTAACATACCTGTCCTGTTGTTGTTGAACTGTTGTCTATATCTGTAAAATGTGTTTATTTGAATCAATAAGTTTTTTTAATAGTCGACCTCCACCTCCAGATGCTGAGGGATGTCAACAAATTATTTTTTGAGTTATTTCTTTAAAAAAATTAAAAAGTTATTATAGCTATCAATATTTATTTTTAAAAAAATTATTTGAATTTATAAATATTAATTAAAAACATATATCAATATATATTTAGTAGTTTTAAAGTTGATTTTTTTAAAAAATAAATAAAAGTATAGTAAGTATTTAAGTTAAATTTATTTTAATTTTTTTAAATATATAAAATTTATATAAAATATCAGATAAATTGTTGACAATTTTTAAACAAACTAACTGAACGTTTAACGATCTCTGAATAAATTTTAAATTGTAATAATAATTACATATAATATTCAATCACAAAAAAACCGTTAAGCGCTTAGTTAGCTGTTTTAGGGTGTGTTTCATCCAAATATCATAATAAATATATTATTTTGATATCAACTAAACTGATTACATGTATATATATATAAGATATGTTTTATAAAACAAATAGTATTAATATTACTAATAATAGTGTAATAAATAAACTATATTTAATAATAAATAATAATATCATTAATGACTTTTTAAATAACAATTTCTAAATAATATATATTTATAATAGATTTTATTGTACTTAATATTATTATTAAAAATTTCTATTGAAATATGTAACTGGTACATTTATTATATTAATAAATATTATTTTTTAAAAATAGATATTTAATGAGTTAGCTAGATAATAAATAGAAATATTTTATATTATATTTTATATTCAATAATAATATTTTTGTCAGTTAATGCAAAAGTTTGATAATTATATTATTAGATATTAAATACTGTTTTGATATATATATATATATATATATATTTGTTATAATAAAAGTTATATTAATGATATAATATTCAATTAAATATATATATATAAATAATTAATAACTTTAAATATCTAAATAAGTATTATTTAAGTATATTTATCATCAAAAATAAACTAAATGTTAATTAAAAAGTAAATTAGTACTGAAAATGATAATAACTTTTTTATTACGTTAATATTAATTGAGATTTTTAAATATATATATATTAATAATCTTTATAAATATATTATATTTTTTTAATAAGATTAAACTGATTAAACAAAAAAAAAATTAGTTTTTTATATATGTTATATAAAAATAAAAAATTAAAAAACATTTATAATTTATATAGTTTTTTTTATTAGAAATAATAAATATTTATAATTGTGTGTTAGTTTAAATAATAAAAAAATTTAGCTAAAAAAATTCATTAATTATATAACATTTGTCCATATGTTTGTTAATTATATAAAAATAAAATCAATTAAATTACATTTTTTTCAAGTAAAATATATTAGTATACGATTTAACAAAATTTTTTATATTTATATCAATCGCAAACTATTGTAATCACTAATAGACTACAAACTAAAAACTAAAAAATTTTAATTAAATTTTATAAAGTTATTAATGGCCTACAAAATGCTAGTAAAACTATTGATAATTATTTCAGTAATAATACTAATCGTATTCATGGATTATTGTCAATCGATTCCAGGTAATTATTTATTTTTTTAGTTTATTTAAAAGAAAATAATTTATATATATATATATATATTTGATGTAATTTTTTTTAAAAAAAATATTAATTAAATATATATTTTTTTTTTAAAAATTAGGTAAAAATGTGCAATCCAATTTGCCTAGAAATGCAATATGTGATGAAAATAAACAATTTAAAAAGTGGAAAATGTTTACAGAATTCTGGTTCATGTTTTTAATTAAAAAAAACTTTAAAAAAAAATTCAATCAAATTAAAAACAAATTAATTACAAGAATATTATTAATTATTAATTTTTATTGCTATAAAGAGTTTCTGTTATATATATATATTGATATTATTATTATTATTATATATTAAATAAACTTTTTTATTGTAAATAATATAATGATAAATTGCAATTCAATTAGATATATGACTCATAAATATAATTTTAAATGTTTTTTTTTATATTACTTAAACTACATTTATATTATTAGATAAAAAGTTTTAATAATATTTTTTTTTGTTTAGAAAAAACTTTTTATAATAAAACAAAAAATATTTTTTATAAGTTACTAATAGTTGTTTATTTTTTTAAAAAAAATAATATATTTTTATTTAAATTCATAACTATAGTTTTAGTAACATTTATTTATTGACTTATATTTTTTTAGTTAACTTTTAATAAAATTTTAGGAATTTTTTTTTGATAATTATTTTTAACATTTATTTATTAAAAAATAATACATTCAACTAACAATTATTATTATTATTATTATCATATAATTGTTTCATATTTTTTCATTAATATTTAAATTACTTTAACAGCTTCTGTATGTAATCGTCTAATTTATTTTCAGCCCATTTCAGCGCATCGGCTAAACCTCGTTGTATGGCCCGTCCTATAGCTGACTTTGGATGATAATCCCGGAGCTTTTGCATGCCGTCAATAACCCCGTCCTCCAACAGTGTCAGTGCCTGGGCTTCAACTGTACGTCCTTTCAGCTCCAGTTCCTCGACTAACAGTTTGGCCTTTTCTACTAACATTTCACACGTTTTCAGTAAATCCGAAAATATATCATTACTATCATTGGACAGTTGTTGTTGGGCACCGTTAGGTATAAGCTTATGTATGTAATCATCTAGTTTTTGTTCAGCCCATTTCAGTAGGCGTTCCAATTCCTGTTGAATGAGGCGATCGTGCGGTAGTATGGGATGAAAATCCCGGAGCTTTTGCATGCCGTCAATAACCGCGTCCTCCAGCAGTTGCAGTGCCTTGGCTTCAACTGTATGGCCTTTAAGCTCCAGTTCCTCGACTAACTGTTTGGCTGTCTCGACAAGCTTTTCACCTTGTTTCATTAGATCCCCTATTATATCATTACTGTTGTCGTTGACTACCAGTTGTTGTTGGGCACCGGTAGCTGATGATAATGTAGGTATAAGCTTATGTATGTAATCATCCAGTTTAGTTTCAGCCCATTTCAGCGCATCGGCTAAACCTCGTTGTATGGCCCGTCCTATAGCTGACTTTGGATGATAATCCCGGAGCTTTTGCATGGCATCGATAACCCCGTCCTCCAACAGTGTCAGTGCCTGGGCTTCAACACTGCGACCTTTAAGCTCCAGTTCCTCGACTAACAGTTTGGCCTTTTCTACTAACATTTCACACGTTTTCAGTAAATCCGAAAATATATCATTACTATCATTGGACAGTTGTTGTTGTTGTTGGGCACCGGTAGGTATAAGCTTATGTATGTAATCATCTAGTTTTTGTTCAGCCCATTTCAGTAGGCGTTCCAATTCCTGTTGAATTAGTCGATCGTGCGGTAGTATAGGATGAAAATCCCGGAGCTTTTGCATGCCGTCAATAACCGCGTCCTCCAGCAGTTGCAGTGCCTTGGCTTCAACACTGTGACCTTTTAGCTCCAGTTCCTCGACTAACTGTTTAGCTGTCTCGACAAGTTTTTCACCTTGTTTCATTAGATCCCCAATTATATCATTACCTCCCGGAGCTGTTACCGGTCTATTCAATTCATCATTAATACGCTGAATCTCCCTATCCAGAGCCAGTTCCTCATCGGCTACCTGTGCCGTCAATCCCTCCAGGGCTAACCTACCGACCTCCGACCCCGGATCTAACTGATCATCGGTGCGTATCTGACTGTCCAAACCCAGGAGCCGTGCGTCCAATTTTTCCAGACCATCGGCCCATACGGACTGGTGTTGTTTGGCTAGACTTTCCTCAACGGTCTTAGAGTTGAGCATCAAATCATCGATTTTAGCCAATAACTGATCCCTGGTTAACATACCAGTCCTGTTGAACACTGGTTTACGCAGTTCATCGATCAGTTTGAGGACCTCCTGGTCCACCTCCTGGACAGTGCCATCGATAACGGTGTCGACTTCACGGCGCAAATCGTCGCCTAAATCGCCCGCAGTTTCCGAAACTATAAATTAATTTATTTAAAAAAAAATTATTAAAAATAATTATTTGTTTTTTTAATAAATTAAAATATAGTAATAATACAAATAATAATAATTATTATAATAATTATAATAATGATAATTATACTAATAATATTAATTTTAATAATAATAATAATAATTATAAAATAAATTAATAATAATAATAATAAGTATAAAATAAATTAATAATAATAATAATAATTATAAAATAAATTAATAATAATAATAATAATTTTAATAAAAATTTAATTACAATATGTTGAGCATAATAATGCTAGAAATAATAATATTATAGTTTTCATTATTGAATTTTTTTTACTGTATTTTTATTATTTTTATAAAATTAGTGATTAATTTAATTTTTTATATTATATATATATATATATTTATATACTGTTTAATTAATTTTTATAAACTATTTTATCTATAAAATAAAAAACACCTGGTTTAATTTTTGTTTTTCTTTGTTTAAAATCCTATTAATTATATATACAGTAATTTCAAGTTTATATTAAAATTATAGAGAAATGTTTTTATATATGATATATATTTTTTAATCAATAATTTTTTTAGACTTTAAACATTGATTAATAAAAATAATATATACTTTTTTCAAAAACAAAAAATTATGATAAATTTTGTATTATTATTATAATACCAGATAATTAAGTTGTTATATAATATGTTATTTAAAGTTTAATTATTTATTTAATAGTTATCTAAATACTAAAACTATAATTCAAACCTTATTATTAATTTATACTGTAGTTGAAAAAAAAATTAAAAGTTATTGATTTATAATTAAATAGTTTTTAAAAATTAATTTTAAAAAAAATAATCAAATAATTTTAAATATTTATAAAATGTAAAGTAAATTACATAAACATTATATTGTAAACTCAACTGCAATATTGTTAATAATTTTTTTTTAATTAATTAAACTATTTTTTGAAAACTTTTTTATTACAGAATTTTTTTTTATTTAACAGTAAAATTTTTATATTGTATTTAATAAATGTCAACTAAAAATATTTTGTATTACTTTATAATTAATTAGAAAAAAATGTTACTTTATATAACTTAATATATGTTTTTATACTTTATATACTGTATAATATACAGTGTATATATTAATACAGTACTATACTAATAGTGCATTAATAAGTGCAACTACAGTATTACGCAATAATTGTTATACACACATACATAAACACATACATACATAAATAAACACACATACATACATAAACACACACACATATACACTATAATAATAATATTATCAATGTCAATTTAATTATTTTTTTATCTAGTGCTACAATAGTACATAATATTACATATAAAATATATACATTACTAGTAAAAAACACTATAAATATAAAAACAAATATTATTTATTTAATATTATATTTATTAAATAAATATTTTATATAAAGTACTATAAAAAAGAAACTTTTAATTGAAAATAAATAATAATAATAATAATGTCTATTAAATATAATTTTGCGGGTAAAGTAGCCTTGATAACCGGGTCCAGTAGTGGTATAGGTGCCCAAATTGCCCGTATGTTTGCCCAATCGGGTGCCCAGGGAGTAGTCGTTACCGGTCGTAATGCCCGAAAAGTTACCGAAATTGGCCAACAGTGTCGCCAATTTTACCCACCAATAGGTACCGGTAGTTATTCCGATACTAATGATGACCCGGTACTCGAAATTGTAGCCGATTTGAACCTGGAGTCAGATATGCGTCGATTAGCCGACACGACTGTCCATCGATTTGGTCGTATCGATATACTAGTAAATAATGCCGGTTTCAGTACCCGATCGGGTATTCTAGAGGACAATTATGTCCGAAATTTTAGGAGTGTTTACCAAACAAATTTGGATTCCGTAGTATATCTAACACATTATTGTCTGAAATTTATGTGTCAACATCCGGGCACTGGTAGTTGTATTGTTAATATATCCAGTGTTCGCAGTACTCATACGGTAAGTCATACTATATTTTTTTTAATTAGTTTTAATTTTTTTTTTAAATTTTTATTAGAGATTAACGGCTTCGGCCTATTGTATGGCCAAAGCAGCGCTGGATATGTTTACCAAATGTATGGCCGCCGAGTTGGGACCGTTAGGTATCCGAGTTAATAGTGTTAAGTATGTATATATATTATATTATTTAAAAATTTAATTAATTTTTTTAAAAAATAAATATATTATTAGCATGCTAAGTTTTGTTGTTGTTGATACATTTAATTTTTAATTTAATTTTAAAAATAAATATTATTAGCATGCTAAGTTTTTATTTGTTGTTGATACATTTAATTTTAATTTAATTTTTAAATAAATATTATTAGCATTCTATTTTTTTTTATAAATTTACTTTTTAATTTATTTTTAAATAAATAATATTATAATGCTAATTAATCTTGATTGACATTTAATTTTTATTTAATTTTAAAAATAAATGTTAGCATGTTAAGTTTTTTTTAAACATTTAATTTTTAAATTATTATTTAAAAATATTATCAGCATGCTAATTTTTGTTTTTGTTAATATCTTTAATAGTAATTTTGTTTTTTTCAAAAGTCCCGGTACTGTTGTAACCAATTTTGCGTCGGTAGGCGCCACTGATGGTAACCCGACTGTGGCCAATAAAATTGCTGAGCAATATGAGCAATGGGCCCRGGTATACCCGATTGGCCGACCCGGTCAGCCCAGTGATATAGCATCGGCTGTACTGTATTTGGCCAGTCAGTCGGCCGAGTTTCTGACCGGTACGTTGTTGGTGGCCGACGGCGGACACCTTGCAGCCAATGCACAGATTAATTACTAATTAATTAATAAAAAATTAATAAATTATTAATTATTTTTTTTTTGAATTTAATATCTGTTATTCTAGTCTATTAGTATAATTAAAAAATTGTATTTTATTTAAAATTATTTACTAAAAAATAGTAAAATAAAATTATTAATAAATAATCCTATATTAATAGTTAATTTTTTTAATAATAAAAATTAAAAAAAACAGTTTTATATTTTCTAATTAATATAAATATAATTTAATATTTTTTTAGAAAACATTTTATTTTAAATCTATAATCAGATTTTTTTTTAAATTTAACTAATATAATATTTATAAATTGCATATAAATTAGTATTTTATTATAATATTAAAATTGTCTAGACAATATTTAGTTAAATATTAATAGTGTACTAAATAATCATTAATTTTATAATAAAATTAAAAAAAATTATATTACACAATTTGTTGACAAATATTTATTAAAACTTATTTAAATTTTTCAACAGTAAAAAACTATATTAAATTTTTCTATTTTTTAATTGTTTTTATTAATTTGTAAATTAAAATCTATTTTATAAACAAAAAAATCCATGATAATTGGACTAGTTGAATATATACTTAAATATTTTTAAAATCAATTTACAATAAATTGAAATCAACAATAAATATAATTGTGTTGAAAAAAATATAGTAATTTATTTTTCAAAATCAATATTTCTATAAATAATTAAAATTTTTATATTATACAATAATGATATCCTAGTATACTATTAATATTTAACTAGAATATAAAATTTAAAAATAATTTATATGCAACTATTATTTATTTATTAAAAATATATTTCATAAAATTTAATATTTAATTAGTTATTATTATAGATTGTCTATTAAACTATAAATTTCAATCATATATAAAGCATGTTTATTTCATTATATTTTAAATTTAAATAAAATAATATTATATTGAAAAATTTAAAATTTATTTTTAAAAAATTGTTTAAATAATATTGTAAAGTGTAAATTTAAAAAAAAATTACAAATGCTTGCTAATAGGATAATCAGAAATTTTAAATCAAAATTTATCAATTTAAATGCACTATTTAATTGTGCTAAAATTGTACTAGATGATGCAATAAATTTATTTGATAATTATAATAATACTACACCATTGATTGGCAACATTAGTGTCTATTTTAACCAAATTGTAATGTATTTTTTTTGTAAATTATAATTATAGTACTTAATTGTAAAATTTGTTTTTTGACATCTATTGAGTTAACAAAATTTTTTTAAATAATTTAATTAAAATTTGTTTTTAATTGTCTCAACAATCAAAAAAAAATAATTTATATAATGTTATTAAAAAATTTATTTATATAGATAAATTTGCATAATGGTTTTTATTTAATATGTTCAAGTCCAATGTTGATTATGGATACACTAGTTAAACGTACTAGACATAGGTAAAAATAATTTTAATTTTTTAAAAAATATTATATATTTATAAATATATATAAAAACATATAATTAATATATTTATACAAAAAAACTCAATAAATATTATTTAACTAAAAAATAAGATATATAATTTATTTATTTATTTTTGCAAATTTCATATAGTATCAAATTTATTAAAACTAACCATGATCAACATCAAAAAGATTTAACATTAGTATTGTTAAAAAATCAAGTATTTATTTAATAATTTTCATACAAAAAAAAATTTATTTGAAAATTTCTAATTTTTAGCTAATAATCAATTAATATATTTAATTTTTTAAAAATAATTCTTAAATAATTATAATTATTTTTGCAGACAATTAACCTAACAATAGATGTTAATTCAATAAATTATAAATCATTAAAATTTGCCGATAGTTTATCAACAATGATTGAAAATAGGCTAATAATAATGGGTAGTGTCTATCGTAAAACAATATCAACTAGCTACTTTGGATTTTTTAGCATATATGATTGGCAGGTCAGTATTTTTAATTAATAAAAAAATTACCAAGTAGTTTTTAAAAAATAAATTATTACTTTTATATATATAGACTTGGCTATCAATTATAATGTTATTAGTATCAAGTACAATCATACTAACAATACATAAATGTTTATTGAATAAAATTAGTAATATAATTATTAATAATAATAATTATTATTTATTTAAACTTATAATTAACTATTTAATTGATACAATTGATGTATTGACAATATCAAGTATATATAAAAAATATTTTTTTAGTTAATTTATTATCAATTATTACTAAAAAATTTATATTTATTTATTTATCTAGGTACAAAATTTTTCAAAATAGAAAAACAATTATTATTAATATGTTTCGTATTAATAATTGGTAAAACATTTATATTAAATTTTCTCAACAATGATATAACATCGGGAATGATTGAAATACCTGTCCAATTGATCGATTCGTTTCAAAATTTAGATAAAATTCAAATCAATAATAATAAAAAATTGCAACCAATTTGGTATCAAAATCCTATTGACGATTTTTCAACAAATGTAAATAAACTATTCATTAAAAAATATTATTAATTGTTTAGTATTTAGAATACAATTTTATTTTTATTAATTTTTTTAAAATTTAATAATTATATAATTTTTTAATTTTTAATAAGTTTATTAATTAATTAAATTTTTTAATTAGTTTATTTATTTTTTTTTAAATAAGTTTATTAATTTATTTAATTTTTTAATGAATTTATTAATTTATTTAATTTTTTTAAATAAGTTAATTAATTTATTTAATTTTTTTATTGAATTTATTAATTTATTTAATTTTATAAATAAGTTAATTAAATTATTTAATTTTTATTTTTATACGCAGAGTAAACTAACAAAAATTGAGAAAAAATATTATGATCAATCTAGATTAAATAATAATAATAATACTAAATATCAAATTGTTAGTACGTTTAAAAATTTTTTCCAAAATAATATCAGCAAAATTATACGATTGATACGCACCGATCGTACGCACGTACTAATTGGTCCAAATTTTTTGCGTAATATTTACACGTATTTACGCGATTCGCGTAATATTCATATATCTAAAGAGGAAACCTATTATCGTATTTTGGGTTATCTTATACATAAACAATACGCTAAATCATTAGTAGCTAAAGCATATAAATCAATGTATTTTTTTTATTAATTTTAAAAATATTTTCTAATTATTTTTTTTTTAAATTTTAATAATTAAAATTTTTTAATTTTAACTATTTTATTCAAAAGTCTAGTAAGTATGAAGGAAACAGGTATTACACGAAAAATGTATGAAATAGTTATTAAAAATATGATGACACTGTGGAGTAAACCAAAAATCAACAATAATAATAACCATAATGATTTTGATGATGATAATGCTAACAATATAAATTACATAATGCATATTAAAGATTTACATATAGCTATGGGACCAGTATTTTGTGGTTTATTTCTAACAATTTTTGTATTTTATTTTGAATTTTATTTAATTTATTATTAATTGTTTTATTTTGTGGTCTATTATTTATTTAATTTTAATTTTATTAAGTAGTAAATAAAAATTATAAAAAAACTATAATAATTTGTAATAGAATAAATTAAATATTTGTTTTAAAAAATTATTATAATTAATTTTATTTAACTAAAAATTTTATTTATTTATTTTTTTTGCAAATATAAATAAATTATTACATTAAATATTATTATTAAATTCAGTTATCAGTACTATTTTTTTTAAAAATTATTTTAATATTCAAAAAATTATTAATTATTAAAAAGTATTAAATATTATTATTAAAATTATATTATCTATTAATAAAAAAAAAATTTATCCAATAAACTCTAGTTTAGTTTATAAACAGTGTTACAGTATATACATGTACCAGTATATTGATTTCAATATAAATGTAATTATTTATATATATACTTAATTTTAACATTGAAAAAAATAACCTTGAATATAAAGAGTACTAAAAATTAAGTTTATCAAAATGTATGTATTGTTTATTTATAATATTTTATAAATCAAAATAATAATAATATTAATTAATGTTTTATTAAATAAAATAATATTTAATAATGTTTTATTAAATAAAATAATATTTAATAATGTTTTATTAAATAAAATAATATTTAATAATATATATATATATATATATATATATATATATATATAGTTATAAATACTGTATTTATTATAATAATAATACTGTAATATCAATATCAATAAATTAATGTTTTATTTAAAAAAAATAATAATATTTAAAAATATATTTAGTTATAAATACTGTATTAATAATAATAATAATAATTTGAATTAATATAATAATAAAATTATTTATTTATTTATTTAAATAATAATGTCGTCAATAGCCTATAATTTTTCAAATAAGATAGCCCTGGTTACAGGTTCATCATCGGGTATCGGTGCTGAAACATGTAGACAATTGGCCAAATCGGGTGCACGTGTAGTAGTAACGGGTCGATCGGCCGAGAAAATCTCGGAAGTGGCCACCGATTGTCGTCGGCTATTACCGCCCGTATCGTTACCGATAACCAAATCGGCCAGCGATTCACGTGTATTGGAATTAGTGGCCGATTTGACCCGTGATTCCGATCGTAGACGACTTGTTGCAGAAACTGTCCGACATTTTGGCGACCAAATTGATATACTGGTCAACAATGCTGGGTTCGCCCAGACGGCTGCCATTACCGATGGTTCATATATGACTGTCTATCGCCAGACAATGGACACACATTTGACAGCATCGGTATCTCTGACCCATTTGTGTGTACCGTATTTGCGCCGATCATCAACTGGCGGATCGGTAGTTAACGTGTCGAGTGTACGAAGCCGTCAAACGGTTAGTCTATCTATAAAATAATTTTTAATGTTTAATGTTTGAGAGGACAGTTAGGTTTGTTTTTTCTAATTAATAATTTTTTTTTTCTATTTATTACATGTATTGTTAATAATTTTTTTCTATAAAAAATTATTATTACATATATATTCAATAATTTAAAAAAAAATATTAAATTATTTATTTTTTAAATTATTAATACATGTATTGTCAATAATTTATTTTTTTAAAATTATTATTACAAGTATTGTCAATATTTTTTAAAAAGTATTACATGTTTTGTCAATAATTTATTTTTTTTTAAAATTATTATTTACATGTATTGTTAATAATTTTTTAAAAAATAATTATTTTACATGTATTGTCAATAATTTTTTTAATAAAATTATTATTACATGTATTGTCAATAATTTTTTTTTGTAAATTTTTTATATATATATAGAGACCCGAAGTTTCCGCTTATTGTATGTCCAAAGCAGCGCTGGATATGTTTACTAGATGTATGGCCGCCGAATTGGGCCCATTTGGTATACGTGTTAATAGTGTTAAGTAAGCAGTAACAGTTGATTATAAATAGTACTAATTTTCTACAAAAATATTTAGCATGCTAATTAAGTGTATATTTATTTATTTATTTTTTAAATAATAATATAGTCCCGGTGCTACCCGTACCAATTTGGCCATAACTGCGGGTATGACCCGGCAACAGTCGGACGAGTTTTACGATATGTATGCCTCAGTCTATCCGGTTGGCCGGTGCGCTGAACCCGGCGATATTGCCCGCGCCGTACTCTATTTGGCCAGCGATTCGGCCGCATTTGTTACGGGCAGTAATTTTCTGGTAGATGGCGGCCATTTAGCCGCTAATGTTTCAAAATATTAATTACGCAAAATAAAACAATAAATTTAAACTATTTAATTAATTTACAAATAAAATCAAAGTAATGATTATTATTATTATATATATATATATAWAAATATATGATTTAAAATATTTAATGTAAAAAAATGTTATACAAATTTTTATAGTGTATTAACTTAATAATGGACTGTAATTTTTTTTTTAAAAATAATTTTGTCTTGATAATTTATATTATAATATTTTATATTATGTCATTTTCTAAAAAAAATAAATATATTAAACTATAAATAAATTTTTAAAAAAATAATAATTTAATTTTTTAATAAAAATTAATTTATATATTTAGTTTTTTAATTTGAAAATTTATAAAAAATATTAGTAGTTGTTATTTTATAATTTATAATTTTTTATGGTAATTTTAATTATTTTCATTATTTATGATTTAAAATATGCAAATGAATAAAAAAATAATTTATTAAAAATTAAAAAACAGTTTATTATTGAATTTTTTATGACTATTAAATAATATATTAAGAAATTAAATTATTTATATAAAGTATAAGATTATATATATTGTATCGTATTATTAAACTTTTTTTATAACAATTAATCATTAAATAATAATAATAATTTGTTTATCAAAATTTTATTAAATAATACAATTATAATATTTTTCTATTGTATTTTTTATAATAAATAATACTAGTATTTACATAATTTTTCAAAAATCTATTATTTGTTATTTTTTATTGTAAATTTTCTGTTAATATTTAAAAATATTTTCTTTTTGTATTATAGTAAACATGCATTAATTATTTTTTTTAAAAAAATATAAATGCAATTGTTAAAAAAAATGTTATTTTTATGTTTATACTTATAATACAATATAGTAGTACTAATACTAAACAAAAATTATATTTTACCAAAAAAAAGTTGTTTTTGTATTTATATCAACAAAAAAAAAATTAAATACTAATAATTTGCGTTATTTATTGCTTATTTAAATTTTTGCTGTAATGATAATTGTATAAACTGTATGTTTAGGTGCAACTAATTTATTTAACTAAGCTTATTTTTTTATTTTTTTAAATAATATTTTTATTTTTTTAATTAATATTTTTAAAAAAATAAATAAAATTTAAATACCAATGTTATACTACAGTGAACTATTTCAACCGTTAGTCTCAACAATGTACCTGGTTGGTTTTCGTACTAGGCACGTCTATCAAAAATTACGTTATCAATTAATAATGTACTGGATACGTTCAATCTATATGGTGGCCATCCTATTATTCCTATACAATAGTTTCAGTAAACTGGTCACCATACAATCGCTAATTGTTATGCTAATAATTACCTTGCGTATAGTGGCTACCCAATATATTGTCTATACGCATACATGCGATCAGTATATAATTAATACGCAACTAACCACGTATCGCGTGTATAATTGTCTATTTAAATGGCGTGCGTACGTATTATTTAGCATGATAATTTTATCGGTCCTATTGTATGTAGTAATGGATGGGATAAAAATATTTTATTTCCATAAATTGTATATTATATGGACACTAACCCATCAGCAGCTACATGAGCCCATCGATAGTGATACTAGTTTGTCTATAATTGGCGATTGTCTACTATTTCTATTGTCGGCACAGTTACCACTAATATTATTTAGTTTACATTTATCATTGAAATGTCAAGCTATTAGCCTAATGTATAGTCAACTATACGCTGAGTTATTGGTGGCAATGGGCGACAGGGAGTCGATAGATAATAATGGTTTTATTATAAGCCCGGGTAGTCTAGTCGATCTACAGCGTCGACACTATCGTATCGGTGAACAGGTAGCCAAACTTCAGGGTCAGTCATCCAAATCGTTGCTTATTGTCTACGCTATAACTATCTACGATCTCTGTAAATATACGTTTCATTTGGTCAGTTATGTAAGATTCCCGGAATATTCTGGTAAAGTTTACTTATTAATAAAATCATTTTTTTTTGACTAATTTATTTTAATTACTTTAAAATATTTAATTTTTTTTAATTGATTTAATTGATTTACATTAACAACAAAAATAATAATAATAAGAAAATAAGTATTTATTTATTTATTTAACAATAATAATTATTATTTTCATAAAATGTTAGAATATTTTTTTTGAATATAATTATTAATAGATTTAAAAAAAAAACTATATCTATTAATTGAAATTTTTATTAATTTAATTATTTTACATTACATTTAATTATATAACATATTTTTATATTAAATTAATTGATCTATTATTTAATTATTAAAAAAAAAGTTTTTTGTTAAAATATTGTATTTAAATTTAATTTACAACAATAACAATAGCAAAATAATTCAAACATTTATTTATAATTAAGTTATTATTAAAACAATTATAAAAATTTCAGATTTTTTTTTGTATTATTTTTTTATAAAAAAAATAATTTTTTAAATAGATTTATAAATAAGATATTTATAATTAATTAATTGTTTTTTTAATTGTATTTAATTATCTAAATTTAGGCGATTGGTTTGATCTGCTAATGTCTAGCCATAGACTAATATTTATGACATTTATCTATCTATTGCTGACAGTAAGTGCCGCCCAAATGACTAGCCGTGCCCGCCGACTCCAGTCAATTGTAATGGCTATAATCAATAGGGAAAACATTTCTATACCCATCGATTGTTATCCCCAATTGAATCTACTATTAAATTATATATCCAGAGCACCGGTAGAATTGAATGCCGGTTCACTGTTTAGCATTAGATTGTCATTGTTGTGGACAACCATCAGTATTGTTATTACCTATTCGGTAGTCTATATACAGTTAGCAATATAAATATAAATTATTTAATATTTTAATAAACACTAAAATTTTAATTACTAATTAAAATTTTTAACAATTTTTAAAAAAAGTAATAAGTATTTATGTAATATTAATACACTTAAAATTATTTTTTAAAAAAAATAATACTATTTTTAACCGTTTATTCTAAACATAATATATATATAAATTAATAATGTATTAGTTATTTATAAAAAAATGTTACAATATTTTTTTGATTAAATTTTTTTTTAATAATTATTATTGTATGAAAAAAATAAGTTTTTTTTAATTAAAATAAATATTGTATTTATTATACTATTTAGAGAATTATTAAATAAATAATGATTTTATTTTTTTAGAAAGATATATAACTTTTTTTTATAAAAAAAATTATTTTATTTTCTAATTTTCATTCAAACTTATATTTTGACTGTAATTTATTTTTATTATATTTTTTTTATTATCAAATAGACATTTACTAAAAACAACATAATTTAAAAAAAACAAAATTAATATCATTTTCATTGACATAAACTAGAAAAAAGCAAATGTTTTTTATTTATTTATTAATAATTTTAAAAAAATTATTATTAATATTATATTTCCCTTTTAATGTTTGTATTAAAAAATAATGTTAAAAAACATATATATATATTTTCATATATAGTATTAATATATATATTTCTCCTTTATTATAATAATAGTTTTAATAACAAATAAAAAAAAATTATACATAAATACAGAATCTTGAATATTATAAATAAATTAAATTTAAAAATATTATTATTGATGGACATAATTGAAACCAAAAAATGGAGCTTGATAATAAAAATATATGTTTGTAACACATAGTAAATGATCACGCTACACTTTTAATATTTTAAATAAAACAAAAATATAAAATAAAATCAATAACAAGATTAATAAATAAAAATTAACAAAAAAAAAATAATATTATAGTCAATAAATGTACTATTTTTTCCACAAGCTGATTTATTTATATATATTAAAAAAAAAATTATCTAATTTTTAATTTAATTTTTTTCTAATTAATAAATACTACATTCAAACAAACAAAAAAAAACTTTATAAAATTAAGTAAATATTTTTTAATAAATATTAGTTACTATTAATTTTTTTTAATAAAAAATATTATTAAAATTTTTTAATTAATTATTAAAATTTTTTAATTAATTATTAAAATTTTTTAATTAATTATTAAAATTTTTTAATTAATTATTAAAATTTTTTAATTAATTATTTTTAAAAAAATATTTGAATTTTTTTATTTTTTTAAAAAAAGTTATTTATGTTACTTACTTTTAGAGGTCCACCGATATCTCCTTAGCCTCTAACCTTTTTGTCCGCCATTTTGTCCGCCATTTTGTCCACCATTTCGAACGCCGCCGCCGCCGCCGCCATTTACTTTGACATTATATCCGCCATTTTGACGGCCATTTTGTCGGCCATTTCGACCTCTATTTCGACGGCCATTTCGACGTCTATTTTGTCCGTTTCCTTGTCGACCACCACCACCACCACCACCACCACCACCACCGCCGCCGCCACCGCCAGGTCGACGTTTTTTTGATGTGATATCTTCACCGACCCGAAGCACTGGTCCAGCACCACCACCAGCAGCAGCAGCATCTCCTTCACCACCATCATCGCCATCATCTCCTCCTCCATCATCTCCACCTCCATCACCACCAGCATCGGGAGGACCACCAGCATCGGCAGCACCAACAGGACCGGCACTATCACCAACAGGACCGGCAGCAGCTGTACCAACAGCACCGGCAGCTGAACCAACAGCACCGGAAGCACCGGTAGCAGCAGCAGCACCACCAACAACGACAACAACAACATTGGGATTTAATTTTTTACTATCATCAGCGTTACCTGTTTGTTAAAATAATAATAATAATAATAATATTTTTAGCTAGTTAACTAGTTAATGTTTTTAGTTTCTAGTTAAAAATTATGTACATAGTAAATAAATGTTATATTTTAATAATAATAATAATAATAATAATAATAATAATAATAATAATAATAATAAAATATTAATTAGCTAGCTTAATTATATATATATATATTGAATAAAACTTACCATCATATATTGTTATTATAATACTAATAATTAAAAATAGTACTAGCTTAAAGTTTAATTTCATATTTTTTTCTTATTAATTAGTTAAATTATGTATTATATTTTTTGTTGCGATATCAATTAAATTGAAACTTAATTGATAGTTTTTTTTATAAAAAACTTTTAGATATACTTTTTTTACAAAAAAAATAATTAAAATAATACTAATTTATTTTTTAATATAATTTTTTTCATATGACGTTAGTTAGTAAGCAGGGATGGCTAAAAATAAAAATTATTTTAACTTAATTCTCAAAAATTACAAATAAAAAACAATTTTTTTAAACAATTATATTGTCAATGAAATAATTTTATTTATTTTTTTGAACATAATATATATATTAATATTTTTAAAAAGTGTATTAATATATACACAATATATTATTATACTATAATTGTATTTTTACAACCCTGATAATTTATTACTTATACTTATATTTTATGTTTAAAAATTAAATATAAAATTTATTTACTTATGTTTTAGTGTTTCGTTTAAAAAAAATTAATTAATAAATACTTATTTTTTATTCAATTAATGTTTTTTTTTATTTACGTCAATCTGATTACAATATGGTAACTAAACTATATATAATATAATATAATATAATATTATATAATATTATATAATATATTTTATATTAAATAAAAAAATATTTATCTAAACATCAATTTTTACTCTATAAAGTTTAGATTAAATTTTATTTTACAACAATATATAATATTTTTTTTATAAAAATATTTATTTGAAAAAATTATCTATATTTTTAATAAATTAAAAATAACATTATAATATATATCTATATATAATTATACAGTATATACAGTATATATAAATAATATAATAATTAATATATATATATATTTATATAATTATATTATAGATAATTTTATTTTCTTGATTAAAAAATAGTTTATAATAAAATATGTAAAATTTTATTTATTTTTTTAGTGATATTTATTTTTAAAAAAGCTAGTATCAATAATAATGATAAAAATAAAAAATGTTATTTAATAAATATATATATAATATTTAAAAAAATGTTGTATTATTATTATCTTAATTTATGTTAATTTCAATTTCCAGTTATTTTTAGAAATTATTACAAAATTTACGATTTTTTTTTAAAACATTTATGTTATTTTAGTAAATAATTTATTTAATATGTAAAATATTTATAACATAATATATCAATACATGTTTTACAAATTTTTATTACAATATATATGAATTCTAAAATAAAAGTTATTTATTATATATTAGGGGTGGTACACATATTACGTTCGCAATTAGATATTTAATATTTTTTAGTATTGCGGGGGAGGGGGTTTATAAAAATTTGAACGTAATTTTTTAAAAATAATTACTATATCTATTAGACATTTGGAAACAATAGGAGAGGGTGGAGGGAGTGAGCGGGTGTTGATTTTTTAAAAAAAGTGCGAACGTACTATGTGAACAGTCCCTTAGAAAAAAACTAGTAACTAGTTACTTATTTTTTTTTAAAAATATATTTATTATAATATTTAGCTAATAAATTAAAATACATTTATTATTTTATTTTTTTTTAAATAATATTATACTTATATTTAGACTTTTACGTTATATCGACCGCCATTTCCGCCGCCATTTTGACCGGCATTTCGTCGTCTATTTCGACGCCTCCTACGACGGCCATTTCGACCGCCGCCGCCCTGTTGTCTACCTCCACCTCCGCCGCCCCCACCCCTACCGCCTCCGCCCCCACCGCCGCCGCCCCCGCCATTTCGTCGACGCATTATTTTAACGACATCTGAACCGACCCGTAGTACCGGTGCTCCAGTATCTCCATCATCACTACCACCATCATCGCCATCATCTCCTCCTCCTCCTCCGTCATCACCATCATCTCCACCACCACCAGCATCGGGAGGACCACCAGCATCGGCAGCACCAACAGGACCGGCAGCTGAACCAACAGCACCGGCACCTATAGAACCGTTTACTACTTTTTTACTATCATCAGCATTACCTATACATTTGTAATGATAATAATAATAATAATTAATTATTTATTCAAAAAAAAATTATTACTAAATAAAAATTTATTTTTATAATAATAATAATAATAATAATAATAGCATATTTAGCTAAATAATAATTTATAATTTTTATATTTTTTTAATATTTAGTTAAAACGTTATATACAGTATATATATATATAATTACAAACTTACCATCGTATATTATTATAGCACTTAACATAATACAAATTAATAATAAAAGCTTAAAATTTAGTTTCATTTTTAGTTTAAATAAAAAAATTTTAATAATAAATTAGTATATTATTTGTTGATATTTAATTGTTGTTAGTTTTATGCTGTTTTTAGATCTAATTTTTTTTCTTTTTTTAAAAAAAATAAGTAAAAAATTAATTTACAAAACAAAAGTAATTTAATAAATAGTTTATTTTTATAATATTCATATGACGTTAGTTAGTTAGCAGGGATGGCAACGACAAACAAAATAAAAAGTGTATTATGTATAATCTATATAATACATGACAAATTTTGCCATACAAATACAAAAGTCATAGTATCAATAAACATTGATATAAGTAAAATTTAGCATGTTGTATTAGTAAAATCCAAAAATTGATTTTAATTTTCTATTTTATTACTATTATCTTAATTTATTTAAATTTAATTAACAAGTATATACAAAATATTACGAAATTAATGAATTTAAAAAAAAATATAATTTTTATATAATTTTTTTAATACACTATATATTAGTTTATTTTTTAAAAAATGTATAAATCATCACGTACATTTTATTATACTATTTAAAACAAAACCAAAAAATAAAACTTATATTTTTACAACCCTAATAATTATTATAGTTTATAATTTTATGTATATAAAAAATTTATAAAGTTTTATAAATAGTTTTTTTTACTTATGTTTATTAGTATTTAAAAATAAATTATATTTTTTATTATATAAAAAATTTACGTCAATCTGATAACAATATGGTAACAATAAAATTATATATTTTGAATGAATAGTATATTTAAAATATAAAACTTTTTTTTTTAAAAGTTAACAATAAAATTAAACAAATATGAAAATTCTAATATAAATATTAGTTTAATAAATAAATAATAATTTATTAAAACTTTTTTCACATTTTATTATATTATTTCAATAATTTATTTAAAAGTTTTTAAATACAACTATTTAAAAAAAACTAAAATTTTATGTTTAGCTATAGTATAATGAAAAATAATATCTTTTTAAATAAATAAATATATATTTAAATTATTATATTCAAAAAAATTAATTTAATGAAATTGTATTGAATATAATACAGTATTATTTTAAATGTATATTATTATTAGTATATTAAATAATTATTAAATATATATATATATTTTTTAATATTTATGTTGAATTCCTAGAATAATAATAGATTAAAATTATAATTAATTTTTATTTTAATAATATTTTAGAAAATATTTTTTTTAAACTATACTAACTATTATTATTATTATTATTATTATTATGATAATTATTAAAAATATATATATATTATTAGTATATATATTGTTTTATTTTAATATTTATGTTGAATTCCTAGAATAAAAATTAAAAAAAAATAATAATAGATTAAAATTATAATTAAATTTAAATTTTAATAATTTTTAACTAATACTAACTATTATTATTATTATAATTATTATGACTTATAGGATGCACCCGTTGTTGTTGTGTATGTTGTTGTTGTTGGTTAGCAGCAGCACCAGGTACTGGATATCTATCGCACAGGTAGGCATAATAACCAGTTAAAAAAGCTATACAAACACCCAATAGTCCATAACCGAAACCACGGCTCATTGTATTGATAATTATAGCCAACGATGCTATACAAAGAAATACGACCAAAAGAAACCGGATTTGTCGGTAAATACCATACAAACCAAACATTTCGATACCAGTGCTGATAGCGGTAAACATTATCATCAAATGATATTCAGATTGTCTGGATTCATAATCGCCGCCATTGTTTGTGTTGGTGTTAGGATCAGTAGATCCCGGTGCTTGACCCGGTGCTGATAGATATAGCATTATGTAGTACATGAGCGCAATTACCAAGCTCAAAACAAGTAGCCCGTGTATGGTTAGTAATATTAATTTTAATAATTTAAATGTTTCAAGGCTATCGATTTTAAAAGCCATTATTTATATATATATTTTTTTAATATATAAATATTATTATTATTATTGAATTATTATTTATTAATAAACTTATTAATTATTTCATTTAATTTTATAATTATAATTATAAATATTTATTTATTTTTTTAAATAATTGATTATTATTATAACTATATTATAACTAATATTTATTTATAAAAAAAAATAGTTAAATATTTATAACCGAATTTAGTTAAAAAAAAATAATTTTATATTTATTTCATTAATTAAAAATAAATTATTTATTTTTGTAAAAATATAGAAACATTTAAACTTTAGATAATATTATATATTAATTGTTAGAAATAATTTTTTTTAAAACACTTTTTTATTTATTATTTGTTTTGTTTATTCAAACATTATATACAGTTTGTTGTTTTGATCACTAATAACAACAACAATAGTTAGTTATTTTTTTATTATTGTTGTTTAGTATGTTTTTTTTGAGAGGATTAATATAAAAAAAAATTATTATTTTGATAATAATATAATTATGTATTCAATAAGTGTTTACATTAATGATAGCGCAAAGAGAGAGAGAGAGAGAGAGAGAGAGAGAGAGAGAGAGAGAGAGAGAGAGAGAGAGAGAGAGAGAGAGAGAGAGAGAGAGAGAGAGTAATTGCATTTTATTTAATATGTGATACGATTTTGTAATAATAATAATAATAATATTTTTTTAGACATTATTATATTATATTAGCATATAATCAATAAATAAAATAATGTTAATATTAAAAAAAATATATATATTATTAAAAATATTATTTAAAAATTTCATACAAAAAAAATATTTTTAAATTTATTTATTTTTAACTACTGTTTTTTTTTGTTGGATATAATGATCAATTAATTTTTAAAAATTATTTACAATTACTATTGTATAAATAAAAAAGATATTTTTTTGATAAAATAAATATATTAATAACTTTGCACTTAAAAAAAATTACTATAATTATATAAACACTTGATTTTAGTTTTATATTTAACAAAAAAATATATTTTTATTATATTCCCTTTTTTCCCCTCCTATTATCTAAATATACTAAATTGTTTTTAACCTTGAAACAATATTTATATACTTTAATTTTATAAAATATTTCATAAATTAATTTATATATTACATAAGATGTTTTTTATTATTTAAAAATATTATTTTAATAATACAAATATTAGTAATCAGTATAACAATTATAATAGAAATAAATAATTACAGTAATTAATTAACTAAAATTTTTAACTTTTTAAATTAGTAATGTATTTTATATAAAAATATTGTTTTTTAAATATTTATCTTTATAAATTATATAATTGTTTTTATATTTAATTAAAAAATTAAATGTTTTATTTTTAGAAAAATAAATTTTTAAACAAAAATCAATCAATCATTTATTTAAATTTTTTATAATAATAATACTAAAAGTTATGTTTTTAAAATCATTATTTTTGTTTATTAAGTATTAATATAAATATAACAACTAATAAAAAAAAGTAATATTTATTTTTTTTGATGATATAATTATGTATTCAATATATAATTTGATTTCAAATTTTAAAATATTAATATATAAATTTTTCAAGGCTAAAAATACTTAAAAATATTACATATATATAAAATTATATTCAATTTTTTTTATTAAATATTATATACAACTTATTTTGTTGTAAGTCGACTAAAATATTCAATAAAAATTATTAATTATTTTTACAATTGCTTATAAACATAGTTTTATAAAATATTAAAATCATCAGGATGAAAGTTTACTTAACACTATTATCAACATTATTATTAGTTGACTATGGTAAGTTTTTTTTCTATTAAAAAATAAATAAATAAATAAATGTATAATTATTTTAAACTATAATTTTATATTTAATAAAAAATCATTAATAAAATAATTTACTCGAAAATTAAATTAAAAAAATTTTTTTAAAATAATTTTATTTAATACAAAAAAACTATTTAAAAAAAATCTTATTTATTAATCAAAAAAAATAAATTATTAATAATTATTAAGATTTTCAATTAAAAATATAAATATTTTTTGTTTAATATAAAATTTTTGAATTTTAATTATATTTAATTAAAAAAAACAATTAACTAATTTTTTTTGCAATTTAATAATAATAATAATAATATTAATTAATTAATTATTAGTTATGTCCGCACAGTTGTTGTTGAACGATACTAAGCCCAGTGCCGATCCCCGACATAACACTGACTACTATGAGAAGCTAACTATAACTCAAATCAAGGATCAGATGGACAGGGATATGCTATACGTTAGCAGATTGATGGATACGGCCGAGCAGTTAGCAGTGGCCACTGGACTCATAATACCGCCGATGTTTTATCGGGACGCGCGTGAGTTTGTCCTGCAAACACTGGCACCGGAAACCTTGTGCACACTAGACTCGTGTCAATCGGATACTAATAAGACATTGTATGCTATGATAGCACGCGATGTATACGGTTTCCGACATATGACTGACCGGATAGTCAATGATAGGCAACACCAACAACAGTCGGTGTTCAGTACTACTACCGATACTACCGGTGCCGATGCCGATGAACAGCAACTGTTGGCTGATCTCGAGGCTCGTGAGGAATCACTGTTTCAGGCACTGACCTATATTGCCGATGTCAAGTCCCGTGGACCCAATGGACTGGTATTTATGTCAACGTTTCATAAAATGGTAATAATTTATTTTTGTTGTTGTTTCTATTGAGAAAATAGTTTATTATTATTATTATTATTATATAAATTTATTTTTTTTTTGAAATAGTAATAAAAGTAATACAAGTTTTTTTTATTTAAAAAATAACATTATTTCGATGCTTATGTCATATTGAAAATTATATTGTTTTTGTTTTTTATCCAAAAAAAAATAGTATTTTTGTTTAATTTTATTAAACAGTTTAGAAAATTAGATCTATTTATTATTATTATTATTATTATTATCATATTTTAGTATAATTTAAAATTATTTTTATTATTATTATTATTATATTTTAGTATAATTTAAAATTATTTTCAAAAAATAAATTAAATATTAAATAAATTATTTTTTAAATATTTATATATATATATATAATTTTTTATTAATATACAATATCTATAGATCTATACATATTTGGAAAAAGAGTTTCCCAAAATTAACCAGGCTATTCAACAATTGCCAACCAGTGATATACGTATCAAAAATATACAATTGCTCCTGGATGATTTACTATTGCTTACAAAAGAACCATGGTGATTTTTTAAATATAAATTCTGAAACTATTTTTTTTATTTTGTACTTTTTTTTTAAATAATGTAATATTAAACTACTGTTTTTTGATATAATAATAATAATCATCATTTGATTTATTTGATAGCTTCTACAGTAGATAGATTATACTGTATTTTATATATATATATATATATATTTGAATTATTTACAATTACTATTGTATAAAAAAAAATACAATTTTTTTATTTATCAAAAGATTATAAGATTTATAACCTTGCAAAAAAATATATTACCTATAATTATATAAAAATTAAATATTGTTTTATATTTGAATTATATATTTATATGTTTATTATAATCTTTTTATATTTTTTTCCCTAATATAGCTAAATATATTTAAATTGTTTTAACCTTGAAACAAAATATACATTTTATTAAAAAAAATTTTTTTATAAATTTAATTTTCTATTACATAAGATAATGTTTTTAACATTATTTTTAATTTTTTTTCAAATTGTATTAGTCATTGCTATTATTACTATTTTTATTTATGTAACTACTATATATTATATATATATTATATATTTTTTCAAAACTATAAAAACATTAAATATTTTAAAAATTTAATTTTCATACTTATATAATAGATTATTGAACTATTGTATTTATATTTATAAATTTAATTGATTTTTTTTTATTTTATTAGAATAAAATTTATTTTAAAAAAAATATTATACATTATTTAAAAATTATTTTTACTAATAATTTTGTAAAATTTTATTTATTATTAGTATATTTTTTAAAAAAATAAAATCATTTATAATTTATAAACTGTAAATAATAAATTTTTTGAAAATAATATTAAATTTATTAACTTATTTGTATTAATTATTATGACTAACAAGGCCAAGTTGATAAAAATAATTAAATTTTAGTATTATTTTGTAAATTATATTTGTTACAATTTTTTTTTAGTTAATAATACTAATAATACTAAAAAAATTTTTAACTGCTATTATTTATTATATAAAACTATAAATTTTTATAAATAATTTACTAATTTTTAAAATAATAATTAATCAACACATTTGTTATTTTTATTAATGTTAACTATTTTATAATGTATAATGTCATCACTTTTATATTGAAATAATAATTAATTAATTATTAATATACTTTACACTGTATTGACATACATATAAAGTTATAATATATAAAATAAATTGTTAAACAAAAACAACAACAAAAAATCAATAAAATTGCAAAAAATGTGATTTGAATTTTTTAGATAAAAAAATTGCTTATATTATTTTGTTGTTATTTTTATTAATTATACTAAAAGCATATGGTTTACAATTTTTAATATCTATATATAATAATCATACAAAAAACATGTAATAAATTAATTGAATACTACTATAAAATATTTATTATATATAAAATTATTATTATTATTATTACTTTTTTATTTTAAGTACAAATTAAACATTGCTTAGCAAATAATTTATTGATTAGATATTTATATATAATATATATAAAATATAAAATTATTTTTATTACAATTTGTTTATATAAACACTACTAATAAATTATTATCAAATTAACTAATATTTTTTTTAGTAAAATTGTTATCAAGTACAAATTTTGTTCATATGCACATTGATTTGATATGATATAATATTGTGTAAAACATAGGAAAAATCTTTATTATAATTAAATAAATAAAAAATAGTATGTAATTAATAGTTGAAATGACTATTTAATTATAATCGTATTAAATAGACTACTAGTACAGTTTTAGTGTGTGTGTGTGTGTGTGTGTGTGTGTGTGTGTGTGTGTTAATGTAGGTGTTAATATATGTGTTATTGTATATATGTTTGTTTATGTATGTATAAGTATATATATATATGCGTGTGTGTTTCTATGTAATACATAGTATGTATGTATGTGTGTGTATGTGTGTGTATGTATGAGTGTGTGTTGAGAGAGAGAGAGAGAGAGAGAGAGAGAGAGAGAGAGAGAGAGAGAGAGAGAGAGAGAGAGAGAGTATGTAAGTGCATAATAATTAATGTATTATATAATTATTAATAATATCTGGTAATTATATAAATACCCATGCTCATGTAGCTAAATTATTAAAAAATAATATAATTAAGTTTATATTATATATATAAATATTGAAAGTTAGGAATAACTTTCCTTTAAAAAAAAAAATTTAAAAATATTATAAATATATAAAAAAATTATTTAAATTTAAATTATTAAAAAATTATATACTATTTTTTGTGTGCGACTAAAATATAGTCAAATAAATCTATATTTGTTTTAATTGTCTAAAAATATTATTTAAAAAAAATATTAAGTTATAATCATCATAATGAAAGTTTACTTGACACTATTATCAACAATATTATCAGTTAACTATGGTAATAAGTTTTTTAAAAAATAAATAATTAATTATTAATATTTTTTTCATATAAAATTTTCGAATATTAATTAAAATATTTTAAATAATACAATTAACTAAAATTTATTTTCTAATTTATTACTAATAATTACTAATATTATTTTAATTTATTTTTTTTGTCACTTAATTATTAGTTATGTCGACACTGTTGGCGGATACTAAGCCCAGTGCCGATCCCCGACATAACAATGACTACTACGAGAAGCTAACTATACCTGAAATCAAGGATCAGATGCGTGAAGATATGCAATACGTCGGCCGTATGATGGACTCGGCTCAGTCTATACTGGCGGCCACTGGGCTATCGGTACCCAATATGCTGTATCGGGACGCGCGTGAGTTTGTCCGGAAAATTCTGGCACCGGAAACTCTGTGCGCACTCGACGCGTGTCAATCGGAACAAAATAAGACATTGTTTGCTATGATTGCACGTGAAGTATACGGTTTCCGACATATGAGTGACAGGATATTCAAGGAACGACAACAACAGTCGGTATTCAGTACTACTACTACTACTACTACCGGTGCCGACTATGAACAGCAACTGTTGGCTGATCTCAAGGTTCGGGAGGAATCACTGTTTCAGGCACTGACCTATATTGCCGATGTCAAGTCCCGCGGACCCAATGGCTATGCATTTTTGACACCATTTCACAAAATGGTAAGTTTTTTCAGGAAAATAAAAATTGTTTTATAATTTTTTTTAAAAAAAAATAGTTATAATAGTTAATAGTTATAATAATAGTTATAATTATAGTTATAATAATAGTTATAATAGTTAATAATATTTTTTAATATTTTAACAGATTAATTGATAACTGATTTTAGTAAATAATTATTTAAAATAAAGTTTTATATTATAAATTTAATTATAAAACTAATTATATTGAATAGATTACTAAACTATTATACTTATATAAATTTAATAAATAGTAATTTTAGATTTTCAAAATTTTTTTTAATGATTTATTAATATTGTTAAAAATTATTTACTATTAGATATATCTATATATTATAATAGAAAAAATAATTATTTAAAAATTTAAAAATAGTAATTTTAATTTAATTTATATCATAAATGTTAAATAATTATTTTATTTTTTTATTTTTTGAAAAATTATTATTATATAGATCTATACATTTTTGGAAACTGAGTTTCCCAAAATTAACCAGGCTATTCAACAATTGCCAACAAACAATGATATACGTATAAAAAATTTACAATTGCTCCTGGATGATTTACTATTGCTCACTATAGAACCATGGTGAATTTTTAATATTAATGAAATATTTTAAATATTTTATTTAGTTGATATATTATTATTTTTTTTAATTGTATTATTTATTTAGCATTCATTACAAATTGTTTTTTTTTGTTGTTTGTTTTCAAATAAATAGCATTTATTTAATTTTTAGAAAAAATTCTATTAAATAGACATTTTTAATTTAATTGTAATAATAAACTAAAAAATTTTATTTTAAATTAAATAGTTTAGATAATAATACTTATAATACTAATTATAAGATTATTTAACTAAAATTAAATTTATGCATGTTTAATTTTTTTTTTATAAATTATAACAAATGATTGTAGTATTAATTAACATTTTATAAAGCATTTTAAATGCTAAAAATATAATGATATGTAAAATAATTTAGCATAGATCATTATTATAAACAAATATTATATAATTTACAATTTTTCAAAAAAAATATATTAGTAATAAATATGATTACGTAATATAATATATATATATATAATTTACTATGTAAATATAATTAATTTTTTAATTTAAATTTGCCATTATTATTTATATACAGTTTATTTATTTTTAATTATTTTTTAATATCTAAATTTTGTATGTTTGTTTATGTTTAATTTATCTAGCATGGTTCATAAAAACTAATGAAAAATTAATGTACTAGTGGAAAAAATAGACTATTAGTTTTTAGTAGTAATATTTTTAAAAAATAATAAAAATTTTAAAAATATTTAATTTTTTTTAGTTTTTTTTACTAAACTAACATAATGAATTTTAATAATAAACTAGTATTGTTTCTATTAATATTTTCCATCATGTTAAATGTTATAAAATGGCAGCATGGTAAGTTTTTTAATTTATAATCTAAAGTTTATTATTATTAATATAGTTTAATAAATTAGAAATTAACTTGCTAATTTATTTATTCAAATAAAGTTATGGCTGATGAAGATGGCGGTAATAAAGGTGGTGGTGATGGAGTAGGAGGAGGAGGAGGTGGTGATAATGGACAAGCAGGAGGAGGTGGTGGTGGTGATGGACACGCAGGTGGAGGTGGTGGTGATGGACAAGCAGGTGGAGGTAGTGGTGATGGACAAGCAGGTGGAGGTGGTGGTGATGGACAAGCAGGTGGAGGTGGTGGTGATGGACAAGCAGGTGGAGGTAGTGGTGATGGACAAGCAGGTGGAGGTGGTGGTGATGGACAAGCAGGTGGAGGTGGTGGTAATGGACAAGCAGGAGGAGGAGGTAGTGGTGATAATGCTAAAGGAGGTGATGGACAAACAGGTGGAGGTGGTGGTGATGGACAAGCAGGTGGAGGAGGTAGTGGTGATAATGCTAAAGGTGGTGATGAACAAGCAGGTGGAGGAGGTAGTGGTGATAATGCTAAAGGTGGTGATGGACAAGCAGGTGGAGGAGGTAGTGGTGATAATGCTAAAGGAGGTGATGGTCAAGTAGGAGAAGGTGGTGGTGGTGATGGACAAGCAGGAGGAGGAGGTAGTGGTGATAATGTTAAAGGTGATGGACAAGCAGGTGGAGGTGGTGGTGATAATGCTAAAGGAGGTGATGGTCAAGCAGGAGAAGGTGGTGGTGGTGATGGACAAGCAGGAGGAGGAGGTAGTGGTGATAATGCTAAAGGAGGTGATGGACAAGCAGGTGGAGGAGGTAGTGGTGATAATGCTAAAGGAGGTGATGGTCAAGCAGGAGAAGGTGGTGGTGGTGATGGACAAGCAGGAGGAGGAGGTAGTGGTGATAATGCTAAAGGAGGTGATGGACAAGCAGGTGGAGGAGGTAGTGGTGATAGTGCTAAAGGAGGTGATGGTGAACAAGAGGGAGGTAGTGGTGCTGAAAATAAAGAAGGTAGTGATGGAGAGGGAGGAGTAGGAGGAGGAAGAGGTAATGATGATAATGGTAGTAGCGGTGGCGGTAGTGATAAAGGAGATGATGGTCCAATAGGTATTAATAGTAGTATTAAAGTTTAAAATTATTTTCATTTTTTAGCTAACAATTTATTTAACTTGATTAAATAGTTTTGGGTAAACAACCGTCTAAAAATACAGCCGGTAATAGTAGTAGTAGTAGTGGCGATGATGTTAAACTTAAAGGTGGTAATGCTAAAAGTGGCCCGGGAGGTGCCAGAGATCATGGACTTAAAAGTCGTGGTAATAAAGGTGGTTCTGGACCTAAAGGTGGTGCTGGGCCTAAAGGTGGTGCTGGGCCTAAAGGAGGTGCTGGGCCTAAAGGAGGTGCTGGGCCTARAGGTGGTGCTGGGCCTAAAGGAGGTGCTGGGCCTAAAGGAGGTSCTGGGCCTAAAGGAGGTGCTGGGCCTAAAGGAGGTGCTGGGCCTAAAGGTGGTGCTGGGCCTAAAGGTGGTGCTGGGCCTAAAGGTGGTGCTGGGCCTAAAGGTGGTACTGGGCCTAAAAAAGGTCCTGGCCCTAAAGGAGGTCCGGGGCCTAAAAAAGGTCCTGGGCCTAAAGGAGGTCCTGGACCTAAAGGTGGTAGTTCTGGAGGTATTAAACTATTATTAACAGTTATTTTTAACTATTTATTAACTATTTATTAACTATATATTTTAAATTTAACTAGGCAAATGTATAAGTTCTCATGAAATATGTAGTTTTGATTATGTATGTTGCGGTAATATGATATGCAATGAAGAATATACCAGATGCTATGATCCAAAGGGTAGTGTCCAACATCTACAAGGTCTACAACGCTTTAAAAAACTTAATCTTGATGACCTACCCAATAGAAACGGTAGATTAATGGGCTCAAAAGGTGGCCCAATGGGTGGTGCTAAAGGCGGTGGTGGACCGAAAGGACCTGGTGGACCTAAAGGACCTGGTGGACCTAAAGGACCTGGTGGCCCTAAAGGACCTGGTGGACCTAAAGGACCTGGTGGACCTAAAGGACCTGGTGGCCCTAAAGGACCTGGTGGACCTAAAGGACCTGGTGGACCTAAAGGACCTAAAGGACCTGGTGGCCCTAAAGGACCTAAAGGACCTGGTGGCCCTAAAGGACCTGGTGGCCCTAAAGGACCTGGTGGACCTAAAGGACCTAAAGGACCTGGTGGACCTAAAGGACCTAAAGGACCTGGTGGACCTAAAGGACCTAAAGGACCTGGTGGACCTAAAGGACCTGGTGGACCTAAAGGACCTAAAGGACCTAAAGGACCTAAAGGACCTAAAGGAGCTGTTGGCCCTAAAGGACCTGGTGGCCCTAAAGGACCTGGTGGCCCTAAAGGATCTGGTGGACCTAAAGGACCTAAAGGACCTGGTGGCCCTAAAGGACCTGGAGGACCTAAAGGACCTGGTGGACCTAAAGGATCTGGTGGACCTAAAGGAACTGGTGGACCTAAAGGTCCTGGTGGCCCTAAAGGACCTGGTGGCTCTAAAGCGGGTGCCAGACCAACACCTAAACCTACTGATACTAAATTAAGAGCGCCTGGAGCTGGTGGTGATAGTAATGATGGAAATGGTGCTCCTGGTTCTGATAATGATTCCAAAGGTGACGTTAATAAAAGTTTTAAACCTACAAATACTGGTGCACCAAGTGGTGGTGGTGGTAGTAATGATGAAAGTAGTAGTAATGGAGCTGGGCCAACTGTAAATAATGCAAATGGACCTGGTACAAATGGTAATGATGGAAATGGACCTGGTTCAACTGGAAATAATGGTAATGGACCTGGTATATTTGATAATAATGGAAACGGTGCTGATACATACGGAAATAATAGAAATGGCCCTGGTACATATGGAAATAATGGAAATGGGCCTGGTACATATGGAAATGGTGCTGGTACATTTGGAAATAATGGAAACGGTGCTGATACATACGGAAATAATGGAAATGGACCTGATACATATGGAAATAATGGAAATGGACCTGATACATATGGAAATAATGGTAATGGAGCTGGTACATATGATAGTGGTGGTGGTTATGATAATGGGGGTAATAACTATAGACGTCCTAATCGTTGGGGGGGTCTTCTTAATCGTTGGCGTAATCGTGGAAATACAAGAAATGGTGGCCTTAGAAGTCGATTGTGGGGGTTCTGGGGTTAAAGAAAATATTTATCAAAAGTATATTGATTATTTTTTTTAAATAAATAATTTATATTAATTTTTTTTCAATAAAAACATGAAAATTTATGATAATTTGATTATTCAATAATTTTTTATTTTTAAATTAATAAAGATAACATTATTGATATATTAGTTTATTATAGATATATGATGCAAAAATTATATAATTATGATAAAATATTACTTAATATTATTTATCATAATCAACATAAATTATCTTGTTCACTTTATTTTTTATTTATATACAAATTTTTTAAGATAATATTTTTTTTCAATCATTTAATATATTTTTATTTATTTATTAATTATAACCAATTAATTATTAATTATATTAACTATATAAATGATAGTTATGCTAAATAATATACATATAAATAAAATAAAACAAATATATAATATAATTTAAAAATTTTATATATTATTTGTATATTACGATATATATATAGTTTAGATTTTTTTTTAAAAAATTTTGCAATAATTATTCATATGTAATATAAATAGTGAGTATATAAAAGCATTTAATTAATTTTTTTTAATTGAATTTTAAGATTATTTTTATATTATATGATATACAAAATTTTTTATGTATTTTATTTTAAAATGGCTATAAAAATTAAAATCAATTTAATATAATAATAGAAAACTACTTTTTAGGATTTAAATTTTAGTTTAAAAATTAATAATAATGTATAATGTTAAGCTATTATTATTATTCATCATATTAATTGCTATAATTTGGCATGGTAAGTTAATAATATATATATATATACATATATTTAACTAAATTTACTTAAAATTATTTAATAATATAAAAATCATTATATAATAAAATAATATTTTTATTGTTATCTAATATTTTTTTTATGTATTTAACTATTAATAAATAAAACAAATATTTATTTATTTAATCATTAATTACTAGTTAAGGCTCAAAATAGGTCTAAAAATAAAGTAGGAGGTGGGGGTGGGGGTGGTGCTGGTGGTGCTGGCAGAGACCGTGGTGTTAAAAGTCGTGGTAATAGAAATGGTGGTGGTGGTGGTGGTGGTAGAGGAGGAGGAGCCAATCGTGGAGGTGATGGTGGTAATGGTGGTGGTCGTCGTGGGGGTGGTGGTGGGCCTGGAGGTGATGGTGGTGGACGTCCTGGAGGTGCTGGAGGTCCAAAAGGAGGGCGAAATGGAGGTTCTGGTGGTGCTGGAGGTCCAAAAGGAGGGCGTAATGGAGGTGCTGGTGGTACTGGAGGTCCAAAAGCAGGGCGAAATGGAGGTGCTGGTGGTCCTGGAGGTGGTGGTGGTGGCCGGCCTGGAGGTGCTGGTGGTCCAAAAGGAGGTCGAAATGGAGGTGCTGGTAGACCTGGAGGTGGTGGTGGTCGACCAGGAGGTGCTGGTGGTAAAGGTGGTGGAAAAGGAGGTAAAAATGGTGGAAAAGGAGGTAAAAATGGTGGAAAAGGAGGACCCGGTGGTAAAAAAACAGTCGATGGTTTTAGTAGTCTTGCGGAAAAAAAGAAATGGATGGCTACCTGGTGTTGTCCACCAATGTGTTATATTATGAATGATGGTAAGGTATATGTGTGTATGTGTATGTGTATGTGTATGTGTATGTGTATGTGTATGTGTATGTGTATGTGTATGTGTATGTGTATGTGTATGTGTATGTGTATGTGTATGTGTATGTGTATGTGTATGTGTATGTGTATGTGTATGTGTATGTGTATGTGTATGTGTATGTGTATGTGTATGTGTATGTGTATGTGTATGTGTATGTGTATGTGTATGTGTATGTGTATGTGTATGTGTATGTGTATGTGTATGTGTATGTGTATGTGTATGTGTATGTGTATGTGTATGTGTATGTGTATGTGTATGTGTATGTGTATGTGTATGTGTATGTGTATGTGTATGTGTATGTGTATGTGTATGTGTATGTGTATGTGTATGTGTATGTGTATGTGTATGTGTATGTGTATGTGTATGTGTATGTGTATGTGTATGTGTATGTGTATGTGTATGTGTATGTGTATGTGTATGTGTATGTGTATGTGTATGTGTATGTGTATGTGTATGTGTATGTGTATGTGTATGTGTATGTGTATGTGTAATTTAACTAATTCATTTTTATGTGTATATGTCCTAGGTACTTTTAATGCTGGTTGGAGACCAAATGTATGTGTATGTGTATGTGTAATTTAACTAATTCATTTTTATGTGTATATGTCCTAGGTACTTTTAATGCTGGTTGGAGACCAAATCAGAGACCAGTTGAAGCTGGTGGAACAGCTGATAAGCCTAATTGTCCTGCAGGTTAAAAAATACAATCAAAATAAGGTGGCGATGCTAGAGATCGAGAATAAAAATTTATAATAAAAAATTAGTACTAAAAACTATTTAATAATAATAAGTTAATAAAATATTAATATTTCTATTAAATTAAAACACATACATTTAAATTATTTAATAAGTTAAATTAAAAGTAGATATATAAATAAATGAAAAACTAAAATTTATAAATGTTTTCAGATATTTTACTTAATATATAATTTTGTAAAATATACTAAAATTTTTTTGTAACAATCAGTAATTTTAATTAAAAATAATAAATAAATAACCGATATTTATTTTTTTTAAAAAGATTTATGATTTTATCATTATAATTAAATAATTTATTATTATACTTAATATGAAATATAAAAAATTTAATAATTAATTAAATAATATTTTTTTTTTAGTTATTTTCTAAATATTTTATTATTAGTTTTTTGTTGTTGTTCAAAATGAAGTTTATTATTAATTTTTTATTTATATTATTTATAATAATCATCGTATTGGATAGTATAATATGGCAGCATGGTAAAAATTTGTTATTTAATTAATAATGGACAAATTTATTTTTATATTTCAACTATTGAAATATTTCGAATATTATAGAAAAAATTAAATTATATTACAATACATTACAAAAAAATTATTATATATATATTGTAGCGGAATAATAATAGATCACTTAAAACAATAGTAAACAATAATATGCAAGATAAATTGAAATCACTTTTTACAATTTATTAGTAGTAGTGAAAATATTTAATCTTATTAAAAAAAAATTTTATATTGTCTAGTATAATTCTAATATAATCAGTCAAAAAAAAATGTAAATTTTTTACTTAAAAATAACAAATAAATATTTTAATAAATAAATAAGTATTTTTTATTAAGATTTATATAATTATTATAATTAATTAATAAATTATATAAAAAAATATGCATACATAATAACATATTTAAAAAAAATTAATTAATTAAATTAATAATTATTTTTTATTTATTTTCTAAATTTTTATTATTAGTTTTGTTGTTGTTGTTGTTGTTGAAAATTCAAAATGAAGTCAAGTATTAATATTTTATTTATATTATTTATTTTAATCGTATTGTATGGCATAATATGGCAGCATGGTAAATTTAGATTTATACTAATAATTTATAACGTTTCATATATTTATATAAATTATTATATTATAGAAAAATTAACAAATTACATTTTAGAAAAAACAATTTTTACAATTAGTATAAATATGAGAGAGTGTCTTAAACAGCGGCGCCGACGACGACAGCGGCGATGCTTTTAATTTGTAAATATCTGGTCAACAATACGTTGGTCAACTTAAAAGTGATTAATGGCAATGTTTTTATATTGATATAGATAATTTTTTTTAAACTGGATAATATTGTGATTGGTCATTTATTTTATTGATTATACTGTATGATTGGTCATAAAAAAAATTGTAAAAATGATAGTCAACTGCAATTATCTGTCCAATGATGCAATTAATGCATTAAAAAAAATGACCAATTACAATCTTATCCAGTTTAAAATTATCAACAACATTGCCCTTGGTCAGTTTTAAGTCCAACAAGTATTGTTGATCAGTTCATTGAAATTAAAAGCATCGCCGCTAGTCGTCGTCGGCGCCGCTGTTTAAGACTCTCACTATATTAATACTATATATATTGTAACGGTCTAGAGAGACGATTGAAAGAGATAGCGTACCACTACTGTGTGTAATTGGTAATTGGCTATTGAAAGAGATAGCGTACCACTACATTTGGTATCGGTAATTGGCTATCGAAAGGGATAGCGTACCACTACTTTGGGTATAATCGGTAATTGGCTATCGAAAGGGATAGCGTACCACTACTTTGGGTATAATCGGTAATTGGCTATCGAAAGGGATAGCGTACCACTACTTTGGGTATAATCGGTAATTGGCTATCGAAAGGGATAGCGTACCACTACTTCAAGAGTATTGAACTATTTTAATTAAACAGTTAATTTAGGCTTACTGTTAAATTTGTGGTAAACGGTTAGGTGATAGTGACCGCCTCCTTGTTGTTGTTATCTCTTGAGAACAGTTCGGTAGTAGTGATCGCCTCTTTGTTGTTGTTATCTCTTGAGAACAGTTCGGTAGTAGTGATCGACTCTCTGTTGTTGTTATCTCTTGAGAACAGTTCGGTAGTAGTGATCGACTCTCTGTTGTTGTTATCTCTTGAGAACAGTTCGGTAGTAGTGATCGACTCTCTGTTGTTGTTATCTCTTGAGAACAGTTCGGTAGTAGTGATCGACTCTTTGTTGTTGTTATCTCTTGAGAACAGTTCGGTGGTAGTGATCGACTCTTTGTTGTTGTTATCTCTTGAGAACAGTTCGGTAGTAGTGATCAACTCTTTGTTGTTGTTATCTCTTGAGAACAGTTCGGTAGTAGTGATCGCCTCTTTGTTGTTGTTATCTCTTGAGAACAGTTCGGTAGTAGTGATCGACTCTCTGTTGTTGTTATCTCTTGAGAACAGTTCGGTAGTAGTGATCAACTCTTTGTTGTTGTTATCTCTTGAGAACAGTTCGGTGGTAGTGATCGACTCTTTGTTGTTGTTATCTCTTGAGAACAGTTCGGTAGTAGTGATCGACTCTTTGTTGTTGTTGTCTCTTGAGAACAGTTCGGGAGTAACAATCAAATTTGTATTTAATTTTAAGTTAAATCAATAATGAAAACACATATTTTTGTCTTTAAAATTCATTTATTCTGATATAAAAACACTTTTCTGATGTTCACTCATACACTGTTAACAACCGACTCGATCGGGAACTTGTGAGTCAAACAGTTTTGTTGGACGACCAGTACGGGTGGGGTTTCATACATTCATACCATTCAAGGAATGGTATGCTGTTTGCGTAATGTTATGTCTATTGCGTGTATACTGAAGTTATTTTTGTAAAAATAGTTTATTTCAAAATAGAAACTATTTTTGAAACTACTTTACTGGCATCCTGACCTCGAGATCGGTCCCCGATCGATTACATAATCTTTTATTTTTATTTCTTTTGTATTTTTTTTTTTGGTATTTTAGAATGCTTAAAACAACACAAATTAAAACAACAATAAGATAATAATAAACATCAAATGTTTTAAATGCTACAATAATTAAAGCAGATAAATAAGTTCAAGCTATACTTAAGATAAACATTTAAAGTCGAATCGATCACTAAAAGAGTAATTGATGTGAGTCCAAATATTTTACGCGTAAAACTTCAAAAACCACCAGTGTAGAACACCTCTTCTTTACTGGTTAAACGACGTCGATACAACAGCTGGCGAAATGATGTCTTCATTTCCCACTGCCAAGAAATTAACGGACTGTGGAAGTTCGCAGACGACCACTCCTTTGTCAGGGATCTCATAAGCTTCCCCTGTATTATTATTACTATCAGTTCGCAGACTGATTTGCGAACATGAAACACCATTGGTTTCATGCGGGATATCGTTGATATTTGGGTTATTATTTTCTTCAAAATATTCTGTTTCGATAGGTTCTCTTAAATACCATGATTTAAGTTGTTCTATGGGGACTTTAGATCTTTCTCTTGGGTCTGAAAGACTTTCAATAGTATAGTTGTTTGGTGGGTCACCGTGTATTTTGACCACTTTATACGGTCCAAAATATTTTAACTGCATTTTAGTGTTGACCCCCTTTTGTCGTAAAAGTTTGTATCGTCCAACCGTGTCTCCGATAGCGAAAAATTGTGGACTTCGTTTTTGATCGTAATAGAATTTTTGTTTGTCCTGAGCTGACTTTAGAAACTCTCTAGCAACTTCTCGGGCGTCGGCTAAATAGTCGCCAGTTGTTTGTTTGGGGTGGTCAAATGGTAGACCAAAGGCAACATCTATAGGTTTACGAACATGAAAACCGTGCATCAAATAAAATGGTGATTTTCCCGTAGAAGATTGGGTGGAGGCGTTGATGGCAAACTCTATGTACGGAATGACTGATGACCAGTTATCTTGATTGCTATGACAATATAATGAGAGAGAGTTTATTATTGTCCTGTTTGTTCTCTCTACTAGTCCTTGTGTTGATGGCTTGTAAGGTGCACATAGACTGTGTTGTGTTTGAAAGCTTAGAAATACTACTTCCATTGCTTGTGATATTAATTCCCTTGCTTGGTCAGTCAATATTCGTCTTGGACAACCAAATCTTAAACAAATTTCCTTTATAAAGAACTCAGCTATTCCTTGTGGTTGCCTATCTTTGATTTTTCCCAGAATTACAAATCGTGTAGCATAGTCGACGGCATCAATGAGATAACGATAGTCATTGCTACGGGGTAACGGTCCGACCAGATCCATGCCTATGAGGTCCATTGGGTGTTCAATAGAGATTGAATGTAGTAATCCTCTCGGATATGTTGTCTCATGTTTACGTCGTTGGCAACAATTACAGCTCCTTACGAATTTATCCACATCTTTCTTTCTTTCTGGCCAATAGAATCGACGGTAAACTTCACTCATAGTACGATCTCTTCCCATATGTCCAGATGTAAGTGATCCGTGTAAATCGGAAAGAACTAATTCTCTCAAGTGTTTCGGTAGGCAAAACAAATAAACAGGGTGTCCCTCAAAATAGAATATTCGGTAAACGCATCCATCAATGAGTACATGTCTTTTTTGTGTTTCTAATTCGTTTCTTTCCAATGATTCGATGAGAGACCGAGTCCAAGAATCTTTTAGCTGTTCTTCGCGGGTGTTTATTAATTCTTGAGCGTTAGACTCTGTTATTTGATTATTGTGTATTTTAACAGTTTTGACATTTGTTAAACTGTTTAGAGTGAATTCCCGGCGGAATATTTACTAGCGTCTGTGTAGAGAATTATCGGCCCATCGGGCTTATAGTGACCAACGACAGGGTATGTAGACAATTTTTCTTTTAATTTATTAAATGCAATATCACATTCATGTGTCCAATTAATTTTGATGACCTTTGCAGCGATTGTCTTTTTTAATAAATCTGTGATTGGTTTAG